GCACTGGAACCGTCAAGAAGGTTCCTACCTCCACAGCGTCTGGAGTATCCAAAGGCTCCTCGACTATCAAATCTCGACCAGAAAATGATCTCTTGGCAATGGAAAGGCGAATCGCTTTGCTAGAAAGAATGCTAAAGGAACGTGATACGCAGTTCGAAATGATGAAAGTGGCGCTCCAAGGTAACGGTGATAACGGTAGCAGCGCTGCCACGATACACAGCGACGTCGCAGCGCAGCCGTCGCCTACGTTGCCGTCAACACAACCGCAATCCACGCAGCCGGTAACTGTGCATACAGATGCGGGGCCAACAGTCGCCGAAGCCCGTTATCTGCCGCCAGTCAGTACAGCTACCGTGTACAATTCAGCCAACATGCCATCAGACGCTTTCAGTATCACATCTACACCGCATTATATGAACGCTGCCTCAACTGCTCCTGTTGAGCCAATTTCCAACCGTTCGTCTCACGTTCCCTTTCAGTCCGCTTCTGCCTACACGGGTTATGGGAACATGCAGTTCTTGCCTCACGATTCTAGGCTGTTAAGCAAGATAATTGATTTGCCAGAATTTGGTGGAAAGGCCTCGGCCTAGGACTGGCCTATATTCCACGCAGCGTTCGTTGAGTCAACAGCGGCCTACGGCTACACCAACTTCGAGAACAACCACAGGCTACGGAAGTGCTTGAAGGGCGAGGCACGTGAAGTGGTGAAATCGCTGCTCATTCATCCCAGCAACGTCAGCTGCATCATCGACCAGTTACAGTTCAGGTTTGGCCGGCCGGAGCAGCTCATACGCAGCCAGTTGGCTCAAGTGCGCGAGATTGCCCCTATTTCCGAAAATGCGATCGGGAAACTGATTCCATTCACCACGAAGGTGAAGAACATCTGCGCCTTTCTTCAGTCTGCCAATGGTGAATATCAGCTTTCTAACCCGACTCTTCTCGATGAGCTCATTGGAAAATTGCCTGTGAGTAAGCGGATTGAGTGGGGTACCTTTGCATCTCCAATAAAGCCTCGGGCCACTGTGGTCCACTTTAGCGAATGGATCAGTTCACTCGCCAACGTGATCTGTATTGTTTATGACGAGGAGCACGGACGAGAATAGAAGCGTAGAGTGGTCCTACATGTAGATAAAAAGCAGCATACACGAAGATGCCCAATCTGTCAGGGTGCTCACACAGCAATTGAGTGCAAACGCTTTATTGAGTCAACAGTAGCAGACCGATGGAAGGAAGCAAAATCACGTCGCTTATGTTTCGCCTGCCTGCAAGCCGGTCACTCGACACGTGATTGCCATCGAAGGAAACCGTGCTCCATCAATGGGTGCCCTCGAATGCACAACAAACTGCTTCATGAGGTTTCAGGCAGTATGAATAACTCGCATCCAGAACCACCACCTAGTCGCAATGGGGGTGAAGCACTATCGCAGCGTGCGGCACGCCAACAGCACAGCAGTAGTCATACGCCAGCGCAACAAGTATCTCAACGCCAGCATTCATCGAGTGACGCAGAAGCTGCTGTTCTAAGCTGCTCCGCTAACGCATTTGAAGGTAAGCTGTTGTTTCGTATACTACCGGTCACTTTATATGGAAATCACAAGAGCATCGACACATACGCATTGCTGAATGAAGGCTCCTCAGTCACGATGCTGGATAACGGACTAGCCCTGGAGTTGGGACTGCAAGGACAACAACAGCGCCTTAACATACAATGGTTTGGTGGTCGCTCAGCGCAAGAGCCTTCGATCTTGGTAAGCTTGTCTATTAGTGGATGCGGCATGAAGAAGAAGCACACGCTTCGAAATGTGTATGCGGTGTCGAATCTACAGTTGCCTTCACAAAGTTTATGCAGAGCAGACTTACACTGCGACGACCAGTACAAACGTCAGTTGCCAGTTCAGCCATACATCGGGGTGATGCCAAAGCTTCTCATTGGTCTCGACCACTGCCATTTAGGCCTGCCATCAACTACTTTGAGGATGAGAACAAATGGTCCTTTCCCCGCCATCACCGAATTGGGCTGGGTGGTGTTTGGGCCAACAAGTGAACGCCTGCCAGCTACGCCTTCTTGCCTACTTATCAATTCTGCGAGCGATGAATCCCTGCATGACCTGGTTGCTGGCTACTTTGCTGTCGAAAATTTCGGGGTGCGCTCGTCACCAGCAATCGAGAGCGCAGCTGATAGTCGTGCCAAGTCTATTTTAGATTCGGTCACACGTCGCGTTGATGCTAGATTCCAAACAGGTATTATCTGGTAGCGAGATGACTTCTATCTACCTAATAGTTACTTCATGGCGCTAAAAAGACTGGTGGGTATCGAGAGGCGCATGAGCCGAGACGCAGGCTTCGCAGCAGCTTACAAAGCAACGATGGACTCCTATATTGCAAAGCGGTATGCACGCAAGCTCGACCCATCGGAAGCCTCAGTGGTAAAGCCTCACACTTGGTATTTACCACATTTTGCCGTGGTGAATGCCAATAAGCCATCGAAGATACGTATGGTGTTCGACGCGGCAGCTGAGGTCAACGGCGTCTCTTTGAACTCCATGCTGCTGAAGGGTCCGCAAGAGTATCGACCTCTGCCGTCGATTCTCTTCCATTTTCGCGAAGGAGCAGTCGGAGTATCTGGGGACATTAAGGAAATGTTTCACCAGGTGTTGATGCAACCCGAAGACAGGTGCGCCCAACGATTTCTTTGGCGCAACGGCGATAGTGGTAGGCAACCGGACGTATACGAGATGTGCGTTATGACATTTGGCGCTGCTTGCTCGCCATGTGCAGCGCACTATGTCAAAACTAGAAATGCGCTCGAGCATCGCATTAACGCCACAAGCCGAGCGGTGCAATCAATATTGGCCTACCACTATGTCGACGCCTTCGTTGATGCTTTCGACTCGCCTGCAGAAGCCATCTCCATCGCGCAAGAAGTTCGAGCCATTCATCTGGACGCCGGTTTCGAGCTCCGAAATTTCGCTTCAAATTCACCAGAGGTAGCTGCAGCTTTGGGTGGCGCAGAAGATACGAAATTGATTGCTAGCAAAGAAGGTCTGGCGACTGAGAAGGTTCTCGGTCTATATTGGCAGCCGTCAACAGATAAGTTTAAATTTAATTTGCATTTTAACAAAGTTGACCCTCAAGTAGTTAACGGTGGCAAACGCCCAACAAAACGTGAACTCCTTAGCGTGGTTATGTCAGTTTTTGACCCACTGGGCTTTCTAAGTCACTTCATTATCGGCGCTAAGTTAATTATGAGGGAGGTGTGGAGGCGAAATACGCGCTGGGACGAACCGTTGCCAAGCGACATCGGAACTGTGTGGGAACGATGGCGCAAACAATTATTAGCCGTCACCAAATACGCCATTCCCAGTTTCTACTTTTGCAATGGTAAGCCCAAAGATTTGCAACTCCACATTTTTGTGGACGCCAGCGAGGACGCGTTCGCCGCCGTCGCCTACTGGAGGGTAGTCAACTATGAGAACGAGGTGAGTGTTAGTTTCGTATGCGCGAAGACTAAGTGCGCTCCGCTGAAACCGCTCACTATACCGCGGCTAGAGCTGCAAGCAGCCGTCTTGGGAACCCGGTTAATGCAGACAATTCGTGAAGAGCACTCCGTCGTCGTAAATGATTGCCTTCTTTGGAGCGACTCGTCAACTGTGATGAAATGGATTCGCAGTGAGCACCGACGATACAAACCCTTCGTACAGCACCGAGTGGCTGAAATACTGGCATCTACAAGCGTGTCTGACTGGAGATGGGTACCCACTGCGGACAACGTCGCCGACGAAGCCACGCGTTTCAGCAGCCAAGTCGACTTTACCTCAACTTCCCGCTGGATTCAGGGTCCACCATTTCTGCGCCAAGAAGAATGTTATTGGCCCACTGCCGAGGTCAGCGTCACTCAAAAGGGAGAACTCGATGAGGAGCTGCGACCAAAATATGCCATGGTCATCGTGAGTAGTCGCTTTTTAGATTTTGATCGTTTTTCTACATTCAACAGATTGGTGAGAACGGTAGCTTGGGTTCTTCATTTCATCAATCTATGCCGTCATCCTAACTCAGCCAAACGTCGCTATGGCCTGACATCAGCTGACGTTGAAGCAGCGAAGCTACTAATATGGCGCCTTGTACAGAACGAACATTTTGGGCCCGAGATTGGGCGTATTAGGAAAGTCCGAGAAGTCGCACGCAACAGCCCACTACGTCAGCTCTCTCCGTATGTTGATGAAGAAGGTACGCTTCGTGTTTGTGGACGCATTGACGCAGCTAGCTGGCTTCCGATGAGCGCGAGACGTCCCATCATTTTGCAGTCCAAGCACCCTTTCACCAAGCTGGTCGTAGCCCACCACCACAACCTGATGCGCCATCAGAACATAGAGGCCACAATTTGCACAATCCGCCAGACTTACTGGGTACTTCGCTTACGAACCGTGCTACGCAGCGTGATTGCCAGCTGCCAAGTATGTCGCCTCAGCAAAGCCGCTCCAGTCCCACCGCTTATGGGGCCCCTACCAGTCGATAGGCTTACCGCGTATGTGAGGCCATTCAGCTCCACGGGACTGGATTATTTCGGGCCGCTAACAGTAACCGTTCGTAGGAGTACCGAAAAGATATGGGTGGCGCTCTTCACCTGTCTCACTGTGCGCGCCGTGCACTTGGAGCTGGCGCATGACCTGAGCACAGATTCGTGCATAATAGCTATCCGCAATTTTATCAATCGGCGCGGGGCCGACAACGAAGCTAAACGTTTCAACGAGATATTCGATTGTCAGCGCGTGCAGGATGAACTAGCACAGAAAGGTGTCGAGTGGGTGTTCAACGCGCCCTTCAATCCAGCCGAAGGAGGCGCCTGGGAAAGGATGGTGCAGTCTGTCAAGCGAGTACTGCGTCGCACCCTTAAGGAAGTAGCGCCACGCGAACATACGCTTAACTGCTTCCTGATCGAGGCGGAAAATGTTATCAATTCGCGCCCACTTACTCACCTGCCAATTTCGGTCGACCAGGAGCAGCCGCTAACACCCAACGATTTTTTGTTAGGATGCGCCAACACAGTGCAAACTCCAGTTGCAGCTGATGTACTAGAAGGTACGTGTGTCTTGCGTCAACAGTGGCGTATTGCCCGACAATTAAGGGATCACTTCTGGAAGCGTTGGGTATCGGAATATTTGCCCACATTAACGAGGCGAGTCAAAAGGTGCGAAAGGACGACGCCATTAAAGGAGGGTGATCTCGTCTTTATTTGCGATCCCAATGTGCCGCGTAGAGAATGGGTTCGCGGTAAGGTGGAGCAGCTGCATCCTGGGCGAGATGGCGAAATCAGGCGAGCAGATATCCGAACCTCTACTGGCATAAAGCAGCGTGCTGTTTCTAAGCTTGCCATCTTGGATGTCGCAGTTGGTGAATCGGACCGATCCACGGGGGCGGGGATGTCACAGCACGCCCTTTCTATGGGTTAATACTCGATGGCAACAACGTTTGCACATCTTCAGGAAGATGCACATCTGCAGCAAATATCACAATATTTAGTTCTTATTTCCGTTATTCGTATTCTTTGTAATTGTTCGTGTTAAAATTACTGCAGTGCGTCATTCTCCTTTGCTCTTTGGATACATATTCGCTTGAGCCTTCGTGTAAAACCGTTTGCGCAATGGAAATAAAAGGTTTCCACCAGCATCAGCGCGCACAAAATTTTTGTTAGCCGTCGTCAAGCAAAGGAGAAGGACACACTGCGGTGAGTATATTTGCGTTTAAAAATTGTCAAATTGTTAAACTTATAAATTCTTTTACACAGAAATAAACTGCGCCATATTTATCGAGCCCGATTTTCCAGTTAAATTCGCCAGCGTTTTATTTATTGTATACGGTGGCTAACAACGTTCATGCTTGTTTTTCACAGCGAACTCAATAAAACTCCTATTTTTATTTTCGGTACAATTAAAAAGATTAAAACCCAAAATAGAATTGGTTTTTCTGCTGCACAAATTAATAAAAGACCAGTTTATTTTTCGCGCTGAAGATGTTTTATTGCAAAACTTGTATGATAATTTAAAAACAGACTTTTTCTTATGAAGTTTGGTATATATAAAAAACAGAACAGGAAGTATAAGTTTCGTTCCTCAAATTTTCCGGATAAAAACTGTAAAACTGTCAAAAAGCAAAATTGCTCTCAGAGAGAGAGAGAGAAAAACCAACAATTACGGGAACCCTTTTCGGATAAAAACTGTCAAATACGCCGTAGACGCCATTTTTTATTTACATAGCAGTTTTCTTTATCATTTGGCCACGCAAACACACAAGCAAATTAACAAAAATAAGGTGGAAATGCAGATTCACTTTTGTTTTCGCTTATTCAACTTTCAAATCGTTTGAACAGCTGATAATTTGACACTTTACCAAATGTTACCAGCAAAAATTCTTCGGGTAAAATTTTGCAACTTCTGACAAAGAGAGGACCGATTTTACTCTCCCATTTTCCCCCTACTTTGCCAGAGAACTGAGTACGGGAACGCTTTCTGGTAAATTCCTGTAAATTCTTGCAACTTCTTGCGAGTTAGGGAATGCAACTATAATCTAAGGTTTTCATTTTTTGAATTTCAAAACGTCATTCAAAGAAATCTTTCATCACTAAAATGACTACTCAACTTCTTTTTAGTGTAGTGAAATAAGTTATTATTCACGCAATTAATAAGTATAAGCGTTATCATCTCTTAAAAAAATTGCTTACGAAAGTTCAACAAAGCTCAACTCGTTTTCAAGGAGAAGCATGGCTAACTAAAAAATTAACTACAAATAGATATGTACATATATGTATGTACATTAGTGTGCCTCGCCAAGAAAAGTTGTGTTTTATATATTAAATTTAAAGTGCTCCGCCAAATAATTTTGGAAAATGTTAATATTTACGTGAGCTGGACCGATTTGAAAATAGCTCCAATGATCTCTTTATTTTTATCTGATCGTAAAATTTAAAAAATATATATATGTAAACTTAAACTCGTCTATCACCTGAGGCCATATTTTGGGAAAAACTAATTTCGTTTATAAAAAAAACTACATTTTTGGAAGTATTTTCAAATTGTTTCAGCTCACGTATAGTGACTCACACAAGTGTTCACGTGTTGATTTTTTTTAAATATTCACAACGTTTCTCCCAGTTTTTTTTTTTTTCTATAAAAGTATCGTTAAGCTTTAGCCAAAACCATATAAATCAGAGCTTCACACTTTATACAAAATTTAGGAAAATTTACCAAATTCAAATCGAAATTTCGAGTTTTTTACACCGAATCTTTACAACATTTTTGTGTTTGAAACTCACATTTATATGGTTTTAACTAAAGCTTAGACAATATTTTTATAGAACAAAATAACTTGAAAAGCGTTGTGAATATAAAAAAAATCAACACGTGAACACTTGTGTGAGTCACTGTATATAAATCCTAATATTCCAGCAGGTTTTGCAATTCACTTCCAAATGAATTTCAGTCAAGTTCGCTTTTAATTCAAATTAGCAGGGGTTGAAATTCACTCGGAAGTGAATTGCAAAACCTACCCGGTTATTGTGTAAAATTCCGGCTGAAGTCTTTATATAAAACATTTTATAATTCCAAGCGACAGTACCGATATTTTTTTTTTATTGAGAGTGATGCACCCTAATGTACATATACTATATTTTAATGAGGATCAGATTCATCTAATTTTTAAATCTAATCCACCTCTACCCACTGGGAAAATAGGTAAGCACCTTGCGAGGTAAGCCATGTT